TTTTGGAAAAAAATAATTTATATTAAACTAATTAATTAATTAATTTTTTTGTATTTGATTTGTATAGACAATCAAAGCGTTTTTACCCGATATGATGACCAGCACCCGTAACGGCAACAACAACAACAACAAAGGTTACGGCCACTTGGTATCGGTAGCCTCGGTTGCCGGCCTAAGCGGTACTGTCCGTCTGACCGACTATTGTGCCTCAAAATTTGCGGCCGTAGGTCTGGACGAGTCCCTGAGGCTGGAGCTCCAGTGCGACGGCTATACGGGTATTAAGTCGACAGTTGTTTGTCCCTATTTTATCAACACTGGTATGTTTGACGGTGTCAGCTCCAGGTATGTCCTCTCAAAATAAATAAATAAATTTTTTTTAACATTATTTTTGTAAATTACTATTTGTTTAAATATATTTACATTATTATATATATATACTGTAGTATTGGGGGTGAAAAATATATACAGATTTCAATATTTTTTAATAACTAATAATATCAGTAATAATAGTATTTTAATAGTATTTTAATATTATTATATTAAATGTTAATATGTTTTATATATATCATCAGTAAAAAAAATTTTAACATTATTTTTTAAAAATTATTTGTTTGAACTAATATTTACTTTAGTATATAGTATTGGGGGTGAAAAATATATACAGATTTCAATATTTATTTTTTATTATAATAACAACTATAATATCAGTAATAATCAGTATTTTCTAATTGTATTTAATATTATTATATTAAATGTTGATATGTTTTATATATATTATCAGTAAAAAAATTTTAACATTATTTTTGTTAATTATTTGTTTGATATTTATTTTAGTATATAGTATTGCGGGTGAAAAATATATACAGATTTCAATTTATTTTTTTATTATTATAAAAACTAATAATACTATCGGTACTAATCGTATTTAATATTATATTAAATGTTAATATGTTTTATATCAAAAAAAAAAAATTATATATATCTATAAAAATTATCTATATATTTTGAAAAACATGTTTGAATTGAATGATAAATTTATATTTTAGTTTTTTTTAGATAAAAAAAACTATATTATATAAATGTGTTATAGATTTTTATTTAGCTAATTATTACTAATGATGTATTTGTTTTTTTTGTCTAATATTTTTTCAGATTTTTTGTTATTATAACAATTATTATATTTTTATTTATACAGTATAATACCTATACTGGAGCCCACCTACGTGGCCGATGAGATAATGTCGGCCATACTAACCAATCAGGAGGTGCTGGTTATACCCAAACTATTTTATACATTGTTGAGCTTGAAATCGTATGTATTAACTAATATTATTAATAAAATTAGATTTTATATATATATATATATATATATATAATATAAACATTATTTAAAAAAACACTTTTATCGCTAATTATTTGCTGCTAAATATTTTTGCAAAAAAATAAATCACAAAATTGTTGTCATTATAATAATAAAAACTTATTATTAGTTGCAATATATGTGCGCAAACTTTGCCTATCATTTACAATATAAATGTTATGTTATATGTTATGTTGTTATGCAATGTCAAGCATTTATGTATCGCTTATAATAATAATAATAATAATAATTATTATTATTATTATTATTATTGCTATAAAAGTAAAAAAAATTTTGCGCTTAATTAACGCTTTGAAAAAAATATCTTAATTTTGTTGATATATCAATATATAAATATTTATATAAATTTAAAAATTACTTTAATATGTTTTTTTACTTTTTATATACAAAAAATATATATATATACAAAAATAATTTTGTTAAAAATGTAATATACAGTATATAATATCATATTTAACATAGTTTTGAAAATTGATTTTTTTTATTATAAATTATTTTGTTGTTGTTGTTGTGTTATTTGATATATATATATATATATATATATATATATAATGTTATTTTTAAATGAAAAATTTTGTTGGAAAAACATATTTTTCCAGTAATTTTAATATTATTAAATTAAGTATCAAATATACTGTATATATATATATATAATATAATATAAAATATATTATCAACTAAAATATCAATTTTATGGTGTGTAAATTATAGTGTAATGTTGCAAATATTATTATTAATAATTGTTATTATATATCATTATATACTTAATATATATATACTGTATATATATATACAGTACTTTCCACTTTGATATATAATATGATAATAAATTTTTATAATATTTTTATACATTTTATTTCTGTAGTAAAAAATAAACAAAATAACAATTTTTAAGTGAATTTAGTTTTTTTTATTAGAAAAATGAAAATAATTTTCTAGTGATAAATTGTAAACAAATTTTTTTTAATAAACAAAAAATTTATATTACATTAGATAAATATTACAATAATTTATAGTAATATTTTTGATGATTTAGCTGAAAATTATGAAAAATATGTTAATAAGTTTTTTATTATTATAATATATTTTTTAAAACTATTTATAATGCTATAAGTATCCCATAATTTATTATTTTTTTTTTTGAAAAAATTATATAAAACTTAAAATGTAAGTAAAGTACTGAAGATAATAATAATAGTAAAAAACTGTATATTTTTTGTGAAAATTAAATTTTATTTTTTTTAAATAACTTTTACATGTTATAACATTTATGATATCAAAAAAAAATATATATATATTATTCAATATATAAAATTATATCAATTTTTTACAATTATGCAAAAAAAATATATTTTATAGAAAACTAATACTTAGAAAACCCAATTTTTTTTATTTGATAATATATTTAACTTAAAGTTTTTTTAAATTTATAAAAATCAATAATAATAAAATAATAAATAAATTTTATAATATTAACTTGTCAATTTTTTGTTATTGTTGGTTAAGTTTATCATATAGTTTTTAAAAAAATTTGCAAAAAAATATATTATTGAATATTATATACATTAATAATAATACAAAAAATATTATATATTAATATACATGTATATCAGGGTTAAGTAAGGGGGGGGGGGGGGGGGGTAAGGCCAAAATACCCCCCCCCCCCTAAGATCGAGAAATTGGGATTTTACCCCCCCCAGACTTTTTGACCAAATTGAAAAAATTGTCGCTTAAAAACGAGGAGAAATGACCCCCCCTCCCTAAAATTTCGGCGCCTTCGGCGCCGAAAATTTTTTTGAAATTTATAAAAATTTTAATTTTAGTTGATACTATTTTAGTAAGTGTTTTTATGTTTTTAATATTTATAAAAATCTAATTATTGATTAAAAATAGTTAAAATAACGTTAAGTCATCAAAAAATAACATTATTTTAATTAAAATAAACTAAAAAATTAAAAATTACCTATTTGTTGAAAAGAGTAATCATATTACAATTTAAATATAAGTTTAAGAAGTTAATAAAACAATAAATACTTATGTTTTTATTAATAATTTTTAAATTTTAAATAAAAAATTTAAAAATATTTTCAATTTTGTACTTAATATAATTAAACTTTAACGAAATTTGAGTTAAATAAGTAGTATTCAGTCAGTATTTGTATAAAAATAAAAATATATAACAAACTATTAACATTAAGTATTGTTTAAAAAATTAATTATGTTAAAAGTTAAAAATTATTAAAATACTAAAAATAACTCATAGTGTATCATTAATGCTTTTATCAACTATTTTTAAATCTTAAATACATTATTTTATTTTTTTTGTTAAAATTTAAGTTTTTATTAATTTTAAAAAATTTTTTTAAAAAATATTTATTTTTTGTTAAAATTTAAATTTTTGTTAATTTTTAAGTTTTTTAAGTTTTTTTTATATTTTTGGAAATTTTACTATTTTCCCGGGAATTTATGCGGGAACTTGTGGGAATTTTATCCTACCAACCAATGTGATGATTTAGGCATCATCAGCTCCTCTAGCGTTACCAATTGCACACTACAAAATATACTTTGTAGTGGCAAGCCTATTATTAACCATTTAAATTATAAAAATTTATTAATTTTGATTATGTTCTATTTGTTTTCGACTAATTTTGTATAAACTATAAGTTACCTAATATTATATCGAATTATATAAATTGTAAATTGACACATTATTATAAGTCGAAAATAACTTAATTAATTATAAATAGTTAAAATATACTGTAACTAATTATACATGTGTTTTATCGACATATGCTATTTATTTTGAATAAAAATTAGAGTTTAAAACTGAAACATTTGACTACTTATTATTAGTTAAGTGCAAGCTTTAGGTGTAACAGAGTTGGGCTATAATTCCGTAATTTTGCGGACGAGTCCTTCCGAGTTCCGATACAAAGCTTCCGTTAAAAACTAGAGTCGACTCTCAAAAAGGGTTTTGTTTTAAAGTATATTTTAAAAACCATACGATTCAATAACAAGTTAGTACCCAAACCAGTCTCTATTGTCTTAACCCTATATAAAACCTATGCATAGTTTCTTTAAAGTATATTTTAAAGAGCTATTTGACGGGTAAACGCTTATTTCCCGTCACAATATAATTAAACTTTAACGAAATTTGAGTTAAATAAGTAGTATTCAGTCAGTATTTGTATAAAAATAAAAATATATAACAAACTATAAACATTAAGTATTGTTTAAAAAATTAATTATGTTAAAAGTTAAAAATTATTAAAATACTAAAAATAACTCATAGTGTATCATTAATGCTTTTATCAACTATTTTTAAATCTTAAATACATTATTTTATTTTTTTTGTTAAAATTTAAGTTTTTATTAATTTTAAAAAATTTTTTTAAAAAATATTTATTTTTTGTTAAAATTTAAATTTTTGTTAATTTTTAAGTTTTTTAAGTTTTTTTTTATATTTTTGGAAATTTTACCTATTTTCCCGGGAATTTATGCGGGAACTTGTGGGAATTTTATTGAATTTACATGGGAATATTCGGGAACTTAAGGAATTTTTAGGGAATTTTCTCTAGACCCCCCCCCCCCCCCCCTTGATTTTGGATTTTTGAAAAAATTGCCGTTTAAAAATGCAATAAAAATCTTACCCCACCCAATACCCCCCCCCCCCAAGATTTTTTGAGAATTTTGTAAATTTTACCCCGGTCTACCCCCCCCCCCCCTAATCCAAAACCTTGCTTAACCCTGATGTATATATATATATATACGGTATATATAACTCATTTAATATGAATATCACATACAAAAAAATAGTTAATTTTTTTTATATATATATAAAAAACATTTATTTATTTTTTCTACACCAAACATCAACTATCACTTATGCCTAATATATATATATAATATATATAGTAATATACACTATGGGGTATAAAAAACTAATATAATTTAAAACTAATATAAAATCAATTTAACTCTTAAAAAATAAAGTTTTATGAGTAGTTTTTATAGTTTATAAAACATTGAAATATCATTAACTTTAAATACATATCTATTTAAATAAAAACTATTTTTTTTGGTTTTCAAATCTAATACTGTTTTATAGTTTAATAAAGTTTTTATTTACTTAAATATAATTTTCAATTTAAAACTATTGTTTAAAACTATAAATTATTATACAATATATAACTGTATAATAATTTATGTTTTAAATTATTAATATATTTTTCATAATAAAAATATTTCATAATCAGATAATACAAGTTATAATTATTACAATAATTTATTATATTTTAATTGTAGAAACAGTTTTAAAAAAATAATATGTTTCTAACTTTATAATGAAAATTAATTACTTTATATATATATGATATATAATTTATATTAATAATTAAAACTAATATAATAATAATTATTATTATATGATTAATTGACCAAATAATTTGTTTATATACAGTATATATATATATATATATATCATATATCATATATGTGTGGCTTATGTTTGCGCTTTTTGTGAAATGCTTTTGTATTAAACAAATTAATATTAATTAACTATTTGTTTTTTATTTAAATAATAAATTAATATATCTAACATTTTAATTTAATTAACACACATGTTATACATGTAATAATTTATCTCATTGTATAGTATTGTTTTAAAAAATAATAATATAATACTTTAGTAACTTTATATATATATAGTTAAACTTTATTTTTTTCAAAAAAAAAATTGTTTTAATATATAAAAAAATATTATAGACTTGAAAAAATAAAAATAAAATAGTTTAGTAACTAAAAACTTAATATTAAAAAATAATAATAAATACAATGAGATATTTATATATCTATGTATACATTGCATGTCTATTTGAGGCTATTATAAAAAAAACATTGCATTTTTCTTATATCATATTATCTATTAATCTAATATTATTTATATATTATTTCTATATCTATCTATATTTTTTTTATTTACTATAAGTTTTAGATATATATAATATATATATATATATAACACAAAAAAAACTTTTTTATAGTTTACTTCCAACGAAAGCCTCATTTATTACATTGAATAACACATTTGGTTTCACAAAAACGATGACTGAATTTAAAGGCCATTCAAAATGAATATATTTTGAGATATATATATATACAGTATATATATATCCGATCAAAATAAATTTAATATATATATATATAAAGAAATAAAATAAATACGATATTACATATACACAAACATAATAATAATAATAAGACAATGTTTTTTATATTATAGCCAATATATATATATATATATATATATATATATGTTATAGTTTTGGTGGTATATTATTATTATTATTATTATTATTATTTTGGTGTCCACTTAAATATATCCGGATATTATTGTTTACGTGTGTTTTACTTGAAATTAGATTTTATATATCTATATATATATATTATATTTATCTATACATATATAAACTTTTTTTATTTTGTTTGGCATTATAAAGCTCATGGATCTAAATAGCTGGTAGTGGTGGTGGTCTAAAAAACATATATATATATAGTAAATACATATAAATTTTATATTACATACAATGCCTACATATAATTGCATGGATTATCATATAAAAAAAATATATTGTTTCTACAATTTTTTTTTGGTGATATATATTAAACTTTGGGACACATTATCTGGTTTTATATGAGTATTTGTTTTTATGTTGCAAATAAAAATACGCAATATATATATATATATCACCCACAAAAAAATGTGACACAATTTCCGGTAAAATACATTTGTTAATATTGTATATATATATATATATATATATATATATATACAATATTAACAAATTATCCAAACATTGGGGGACTAAACAATAATGGGATTGTACTGTATAATAGTCTAGTATATATTAATTGAATATTTATTATTATTTTTGGTCAATATAAAATTTATTAAATATAATAATAATAAATTATCAATGTCCTAATTTTTATTAAAAACAAAAAAAACAATCAGCAAATAAAATGATGATAATGATAATAATAGTAATAAAATAAAAATTACAAATATATATATTAATATATATATGTAATAATATATATATAAATCAATTTTTAATTCAATTTATATATATATATATATTTAATTAAATTGATTTCAACATACCGATAGAAAATTGTGAAAACATTTTTATATTATTATTATTATTATTATTATATAATCAGTTAAATATATTACATATGATATATATACTGTATTATTTTAATCAATAGTTTTTTTATATTTAAATTTTTTAGTTTTAGTTTTGTTGTTGAGACTAAATCCCATGGATTATGCCATTCACATAAATTGCCTGAATTTACAGTACAATAAAAATTGTGGCCATATTTTACATATCCTATTATATATATATATATCTCTTTTATATAAAAATTTATATATATATATATATATATATATATATATTATCCACAAAAAATTGCAATAAAACTACGTGTGTGTATGTGTGTGTATGTGTGTGTATGTGTGTGTATGTGTGTGTATGTGTGTGTATGTGTGTGTATGTGTGTGTATGTGTGTGTATGTGTGTGTATGTGTGTGTATGTATGTGTATGTGTGTGTATGTGTGTGTATGTGTGTGTATGTGTGTGTATGTGTGTGTATGTGTGTGTATGTGTGTGTATGTGTGTGTATGTGTGTGTATGTATGTGTGTGTATGTATGTGTATGTATGTGTATGTATGTGTATGTATGTGTATGTATGTGTATGTATGTGTTTGTGTTGTCCATTGTTTCTAGCACATGTAGTAATGGTCAGTAAAAAATAGTAATAGTAAATAAAAAAACAAAATAATAAAACATTTTTTTATATAAAAAACATTTTTAAAAATGTATATTGTAATTGTTTTTGTTTGTTTTTTTTAGTTTATAATAATGGATAAAATGTTATTCAATTTAATATATATATATATATATATATATATATATATATATTGTCTATATATACATTGCATGTCTATTTGAGACTATTAAGAAAACGTTATATTATTTTTTTATATTATCTATTAATCTAATATTATATATATATATATATTATAAGTTTTATATATAAAAACACTTTAGTATAAAGTTTTTTTTTGAGCAAATTTTATACTTTTGTTACAATAATTGTATGATTAGAAAATGTATTTTATTTTGTATGAAATTTAATAGATATATAATATATATATAATTTGATAACAAATTTAATCACTATTGTTATTAAAAAATTGTTTTTAATGAAAAACAAAATTAGTTATATAATTATAATTGTTATTGAATTAAATGATAATATAATTTATCTAACAATTGATGTTTTGAAAATATTATTAAATGATATCACATTATATAAATTGATATATTTATATATATTTGTTAATTGATATTAGAGTTTACTATTATAATCAAATAGACTTAAATATATTTATGATATTTATAATGATATTTCAAATTGTGATATAATAGTGAAATTATTTTTTTAAGATTATATAAATCATTTGATTTTTTAAAAAAAATGTTTTAATACGTAATTCAATACTTTATAGAGTTATATAAATCTATAAATTATATATAAATTTAAAAATTATTATTAAATTTATTTACTAAAATAAATATAAATTATATATTTATATAATATAACATGGGATATAATTTATATATATATATATTGTTATATGTAAATTGAGATTTATTATTTTATTATTTACATAAAACTTTTAGTCAACTGTTCATTTTATTTATAAAATATTTAATAAATAAATAAATAATTTTTTTTTAAAAATAAAATATTTCTAAAAACTTTTGAATAATTGAATTGAATTAAATAAAAATATTAAATAAAAAATATTTATACATAGTATAAAACTTTTTTTTTAATTTTTCAGTAAATAGTAATATTGTATTTTTATTATTATTATTATTATTAACTAAAAAATATTCAAATAGTTTTTAAATAATAAATATACAGTAAATATATTAAAAATATCTATGAATTTAATATTTCTATTTAAATAAAAATAATATGTTTTATATATAAATATATATTTTATTCAAATATAATTGCTTAACATATTTTTAGTATTGTTTATATAGTATACTGTATTAAGATTATGAGATTATATTTATATATATACATAAAAAAAATTAATTAAAAAGATATAATACTGTTATATACTATTATATAATATTAATAATATTATGTATAATACAGTATCTATAAACTGTTTTAATTCAATTAATAATACATTAAAATATTTTATTAATATTTAAGTTTAGAAATATTTAGGAAATTTCAAAAATTTTTGTTTCAAAAAATTATAAATTAAAGTTGTTTTATTGAAAAATGTGTTACTTATATATATACAGTATTTTTGACAATAAATATTTGTTTAAATTTTAATAATAAACTATATCTACAGTATATAATGTTTATTTATTATATAAGTAAGTAATATATTATATATATATATATTGTTTGCAATCATATATAGATTTTATAGTTTTTAGACAACATTTTAAGTGATTTTTGAAAAATATATTTTTCAATATAAAGTTGTTGTTAAATATATTGAGAAACATTTTTTTTTTATATTTGATACTATAATATATATATATATATAGTATACATATTTGATATTATTATTTTATCGATTTATATACAGTATATACTGTATATCAATATATATTTTTTTGATTTAAAATAATACTTTAATACAATAATAATAAAACAATAAATGATTAGATATTTTTGATATATGGTTATTGTTATTTAAATATTATTATTTTATGTTAAAATAAAAAAAAACATGATATTACATGGATGATATATTATATGTATTAAATTTAAATAAAGTTTACATATATATATATATATATATTTATGTAAAAAAATTTATTATGATTTTGTTTAAATGCTAATCAATTTTAATTTTTTTTTGTCGATAACAATATATTCAATCATAATTCAATATATAACAAAAAAAATAGATAAAAATATTTATCAATAAATAATATAATATAATATATATAAATACTTTTTTTTTTAAAAATTAATTTTATGACAATGACAACAATATTTGTTTTGTTTTTATTAATCGAGCAGGGTAAAATTAAAATATTTTTAAAAGTTATTTATGTAGATTAATATTTTTTATTATATTTAATTTAATTATTATTTTTTATTTATTTATCCCAATCCCTCCCCACCCCCACCCCAAAAAAAATCCCATAACACTTACCCACACTAATAACTACCCAAACTCCTAATCCTATACACCCCCATATATACCCCGCACACATAAATATCAAAATAAATAGGTTAATACCACGCGCGTGCAGCAATCAGGCACAGTTACTATTGACAACGCACGTGTCGATGACCGATTTTAAGGGACGGGTGCCGTCCACCGATAATTTAATGGCCAATAATCGGGATGATGATGATGACCTGGATAATAATTTAGTACCAAATAATAGTAGACAACTAAAGCGTCCGATTTGTCCGATAGATATTTGCAATGATAATAGTGTCCGAAAATTATAAAATAATTAAATTAATTAATTAATTAATTAAAAGCTAATATATAAATAGTAATATATATAAAGTATATATAAATTAATCTCAATTTTTTATATAATTACTAACAATTATTGCTAATTTTTAAGCAATATTTTTAACAAAATAATCAGATTTTTTTTATATATACAGTATATACTCATTATATTAGAATATGTTTTTTACTTATTATTATTATTTTTATATTTAATTATTTTAGATTTGTTTTAATTTTTTTATTTTAATCAATAATCAATTTGTTTATTAATAATTATTTAATAATTTACTAGAATTTTTACTATACATGTATAGTATATATATAAAAATTTTGCAGCTAAAAATTTAATTTATTTTATATATATATTGAAATATATATTAATATTTTATGTTGACATTCAAAGTGTGATTGAAAATTTATTTGACATTTTATTTTATAAATTTTAAATATTAACATATAGTACAGTAATATACATATAATATTAGATTATTTTATATTGAATATATCATAAAACTATATATATATAACAAAATAAAAATGTATGTAATGTTTATGTTGAACACTGTATATTATATTATGGAAAAAAAATTGAATTTAATAATAATAATAATAAAAATAATATATAAATATATATTTGAATATCATGTGTCAGTTCAATATTATCAATATTTTAATATATATTTTATTTTTTACTGGGAAACAAAAATGTCAACAATATTTTTTAACAATGTTTCAATTGATATAAATATATATATCAGTATATATTAATATTTAAATATTTTTTTTTAGACACTATATCTATTGATATGTCATGAAATATAGTAATGCAATATAAAATATAGTATATAAAGTAAATAAAATAAATTATATTATAAAATGGTTTAGTATATGGTTTTAAGCGAAAATAAATATTTAAATTAAATAAATAATATATATATATAATATGTAATATCAATTATTATCATGTTAAAATTAACTAGGTAAGTTATTAGTTTTTTTTTGAGAAAAAATAATTTAATATTATTGTGATTTTTTAATACTAATACAAATAATAATAATAAGTAGTTTTTTTAATATAATAAAATTTTAATAAATGCAATTATCCAATAAATTTAATATAAATATTTTTTTTAAAAAATAAATAAAATATATACATTAATAATGTATTTTAAATATTATTATTATTACTATAATTTGTTTTAATGGTTTAATAGTTGTGAAACAATTGTAATAACAATTAATAAATTTTTTTAAGCATCTTATTATTATTATTATTATTATAGATAATTATTATACTAACCATAATCACTATTTCAAAAATAATAATAATAATAATAATTGTTTTGAAAAAAAGCTTACGATTTTAGTCGTAGAGATTATTATTATATTATATTTTTATTTGATTTAGTTTTAATGGTTTATATCACACAATATATTCATTTAATAATACAGTGAATAATAAAAATAATAATATAATAAAATAATATTTTTCTACTCTAATCATAAACTTTAAGCAAAAAAATATTTTTATTAAATATATATATATATATATCATATATAAATAATTTTTATATTAAATCTTTATCTATCTATCTATTTGTCTAAAAAAATAATAGTTATTTGTAAAGCTATAGAGTAATAATAATACCAATAATAATAATATTAAAATAATAATAATAATATTAAAGTATTAAAATAATCATAAAACAAAATATTAGTTTTGAACAATAAATTTATTATTATTATTATTATTATTAAATCTATATATAATATTATAATGTATTATATATACACTGTATATAAATTGTGTGGTTTATTGAGTGTGAATTAATAATTAATAAATTTATAATAATAATAATAATAAAAAATCTGTTTTATTAAGATTATTATTATTATTAATAATATCTTTCTATTCAATAAATAACAAAATATAATAATAATAACAATAATGTAATAAATGGATAATCATAGACACACCCAAATTGCACGCATCCTAACCATACATATATACACTATTAATACTGTCATAATCATCATCATCATCACCACAATCACTACCACCACCTAAAAAAAAACCTAACTGTCCGCACCCAACTAGTGTATAATTATACTAAATTAACTAAAATATATTGTATATATATATATATATATATAAAATAATAACTATTAATTAGCAATGTTATAATTTTTTATGTACAGTATCTAATTAATGATAACAAATATTTATTATTATTATAATTATTTATCTATTTTTAAAAAAAAAAACAAATTTCTACTATAAATAATAATACATGTATATTATATTTATTTATTTATTTTTATATTACATTTTTAAAATAATAATTAGTATTAAGTAAGTTTAGCTATAATTTTGTTATTATTATTATTATTATTATTTAATTTATTTTGTATAATAAAATCATTAAGTTTTATTGACTTGTATTAATTTTTTTTAAACAATATGATATATATAAATTTATTTTTAAAATATTATATTTAATTTATTATTATTATTATTATTTTATTAATTAAATATATATATAGATTATTGCCATCGCAAGCGTTTAGCCAAATGTATGGCACACTGGGCGGCAATACCTGTATGAATGGATTTCATGGCCACCACAACCACACCGACAAACAAACTGATAGTGTGGTCGGCGACAGCACCGGTAGATCAGCATAAAGACAACCACACACACACCCACCCCACCTAAGCTTCAACACATCATTGTCATCGTATATACTGTTAATTATTATGAGTGTGCGGTTAACATTATTCATCCCTATCCCTACACATCAATAGATGTATTACACTTGATTATACACACATAGATACACATACACATACACATACACATACACATACACATACACATACACATACACATACACATACACATACACATACACATACACATACACATACACATACACATACACATACACATACACATACACATACACATACACATACACATACACATACACATACACATACACATACACATACACATACACATACACATACACATACAATTAGCATATTATAATATTACCTGAATTAAAGTACAATAATATTGGGATCTCATTAAAATAAAAATTATTATTATTATTATTGGTATTTTTTTTAATTAATTTCAATAATTTAGGTTTAAGTTATAAATTTTAAAAAAACAACATCAGCTAATTTAATTTTTTAAACATAACTCTCTCTCTCTCTATATATATATATATATATTTGATGTAATAATTAGATTATAAGTAATAGTATGTAAATTATAATTATTACATAAAATTATATAACTCTAATAACTTATGTTTATCTAATATGAAATATTAATTTTAAACATTTATTTTATAAAAAATAGGAAATGTTTTTTTTAATATATAAAATTATTTTTATATAATATACTATTTTCTGGTCTAAATTATTGTATTGTTTTTTGTAAAAAAAAAATTGTAATGCAATAATAAATTGTATTACACAATAAGTTATTAAATTTTTTTAAAAAAAAAGTTTATAACTTTAACAAAATCTAATTATAATAATATTCAAATTAAAATTTGATTTTAAATAAAAAAAATAATAATATTATAAACGTTTCAAACAATTTGTTTGTTAATTAAATTTTTTTATATATATATAACATTTACGTATATAAAGTATATAACCGTTTATTATAATAGACTTATAATATATAATTATAATATATATATATATATTTATAGCACCTGGTATCTAACCAAAAAAAAAGTTATATCATTTATGTTGCACTGGTAGTAGTAGTAGTAGTACCGGTAGTATATTGTTTTGACATAACAGTGCTATCGACGGTATTAGTATTCATCGGCACAGTTGCTGTTAGCAAACAAATAGTAGCCGAAAAAAAATTGGACATAAAAATTGTCGACAATAGACACACCATCATTGATAGCCATCTAATTATTGTTGAGTATATGGTTTTGTGGACAACCAGTTGTTTAGTAGCACCTGTAGTAGTACTAGTAGTGGTAACAGTGTTGGCCATAGCAGCTGACCTGCGATTGTGGGCATCGGTAAGCACCTGGAGTGCACTGGCCGTTGCTTCGGCAACCCGTATAATAGCATTACTACGGCTGGCGGCCATAGTTTCCGTCAGCAGTTTATCGGCTTCGGCCTGTTTACGGACAGTCGACTCCAGTTCCCATTGTTTTCGGCTCAACTCTCGCTGCCATAGCTTGATCTCCATATCCTTTTCAATGAGTTTAGACTATATATAGATAAATAAAATAATAGTTAATATACTGTATATATATAGCACAGGTATGCTGTAAATTACACGACAAACAAACCTCCCATTCCTCGGCAACAACCCGTTGCTGCCGTTTAGCCCTAACCAACCGATAGACACTGTCGACCATTGCTCGCCTGGCCATCAATTTGGCCTCGCATTCGGCTTTTCGTAGCTCAAACTCCCGGTGCACTTGAATGACATTCGTGAGTCGGGTATAGTAATCACGGGCGCACTGTTCCCGCTGGACAGCCTCGGCACTGATGGCCTGTAGTTTAGCTCGACTATCGGCCAATCGGGCCTCACATTTGACGCGTGCAATGACCGGCTCACCTAACGATCTAATATAACCGACATTATTGTCGTCTCCGATATCGGTAACCATCAGCGACTGTACGGTAAATCCTAACTGTTTGAAATCCGGGGCCACTCGCTGTCTGACCGATTCGCCGAACTGGTGGCGTCTAAAACATAAATCTTCGACACTGTGCCCGCCGACGGCTGACCTCACGTGTGCGTCCAGTATCTCACTGACCAGTTGTCTGATTTCATCCGCCGATTTGCTGCCGCCTAACAGATGCTGGCCATCACTGCCGCCGATACCGTCGATGATGTCCACTTTGATCAGTGCCGTAACTCTAACGGTAACTGGTATGGCCTGTTGGGTATAGGTGGGTGCTGTCTCAATGGTCACGACTATAGGTGACAGTGATATACTATAGTGAAATGGGTGGGTGTGGGGGTGGGGTTTATTAGTTAGTAACTAACTGTGCTATATATATAGTTAACTTTTAAACACCATTACCGGCTAACCGTTTCAATTAATGGCCAAACAAATACACGACCGGCCAGTGAAACACGTGGTGGCCTACGATTACGGCAACCTATTTATAATAGTAATAATAATAATAATTTAGCATGCTAAAATAATAAATTAGCTAGCAACAAAATAAATCATTAGATAATATATATATATATATAGTGGAGACATATACCTCCTGTAACTACCAGTGCTTGGTTTGGCCGACACTTATATAGGATAACCATATTTTTATAAATATTTTTTATAGCAATTACTATAATCACAATATAAGTATTATTATAATTTAGTTTACAGTTTAAATGTCAATATATTTATAATGTTTCCTATGTATGCTTATATAATACCAGTGCTATTTACACACCTCCACCTATTATACAGTACTACAGTGTATTAAATACCTACCAGTGCTTTAAAAATGTGATGTTTAGGTTTTAAGTGTTGCCATCAATCGACTAGTTTTTCATTTAATTTATTGTATTTATTATTATATTGTTGTTGTTTTATATACGGTATTTAATAAGCAGTACTTAAAATAATAAAACAATTTAAAAAAAAAAAAATATTTATAATCATCTCATAATTATTTGTTAAAAAAATTTTGTTGTTTGTGTGTATATCAAACATATGTTACTTAATTTATTTATAAAAAATTAATTTTAATAAAAATTTAATTTTATTAAAATTATTATTATTTACTTATTGCCTGTATACATTAATATACTATATTAATATAATATAATTAGTATACTAATTGTATCCAGCTGGTTTAAAAAAATTAAATTTTTAAATAATATACAATAATAAAAACTACATTATCCAGGTAAATTTATTCAATATATATATATATATTGTTTTCTAATTTTAATTAAAATAAAAAATCTAACTTGATTAAATTATTTATTTTAAACAAAATTTAATACCTTTAATATAATTTTTTTTTGAGCAGGTGCATACTAAAAAATAAATCACACACACCCTCCAAGCCATCCCTCCAAACCCCCACACGTGTGTGTGTGTGTGTGTGGGAACACAATTTAATAAGGGCACATATAGTCTACTCTAACCCCCGCAACCCCATCCACCCCCCCCCCCCCCAATCACCCATACTTACCGGGCAACTAGTCTACTACTACTACTACTACTACTGCTAACCGGGTGTTTGCGGTGGACATACATATATGACTACAAGTACTACTACTACCACTGCTTCAGCAGCAGCGGCGGCGGCTACTACTACACCGTGGCGGCCAAACCCCGAACTGATGACCCAATTAACCGATATGGGTATCAGTGCGGTAGCGGCCAAAAAAGCACTGTACTATACGGATAACCAATCGATAGAATTGGCCACCAATTGGATATTTGACGGCAACAGAAGCGGTACTCACGATTTGGACACACCGTTAGAACTGGAATTGGGTGTCGAAACTGTGGTCACACCTACTGCTACTACTACTACTGCCAGCAGTGCCGCCGCAGCCGCCGGTAGTCGAGGAGGAATCGGTATACGCGGCGAACCAGTGGGCGCTCCGTCCGCTGCCGACAGCGATTCACGGACTGCTACTACCATCGGCTCCGGTGGTGGAGGTGTAGGAGGAGGAGGTGGTGGTCAAGAGGTCTACAAAATGGTATTCATTGTAAACTCATCCCTACAGATGGGTGTCGGCAAAATTGCTGCACAGGTAGCTCATGCAGCACTCGGTATGCATGGGCTACTCCTACAGGACGAACCCAAGTTCGGTGTATCCTTAATCCGATGGTCAGAGTTTGGCGAAACCAAGATTGTACTCAAAGGCGAATCCACTCAACATCTGGTCGAACTGGAAAAACGGGCCTTGAGTTCGGGTTTACCAACATATCTGGTCCAGGATGCGGGTAAAACACAGGTCAATGCCGGCTCTACGACTGTCCTCTGTCTGTACGGTAGTACCGATACGGTTGACTCGGTGTCCGGCGATTTGCGGCTTCTGTGAGACCGCGAGTGAGAGAGAGAGAGAGAGAGAGAGATAAGTCTCGGCCAACCTTACCGTAGGAAAGGGTTGTTTTTTTTATTGTGTATGTTATCCCCAAACTAGAGTGTTGTTTAGGTTTTGTTTATAGTTTCGGTTATTTAATGATAGAGAGAGAGAGAGAGAGGAAAGAGAGAGAGAGAGAGAGAGGAAAGAGAGATAGAGAGAGAGAGAGAGAGAGAGTCCGAATATATATATAACACTCTATGTCTATACAGTTATCCATTTATTAAAAAATAATTACCGACAAAATACAAAATTAATATTTATTTTTAGTTATTTATTTATAATAATTATTATTATAAAAAATTTTGTAAAATATTGTTTGTTTTGTTAGTTTCGGTAATTATTAGTTTTTAATTATTGATATTATTATAAATGTAACTTAAATTTGTAATAATTTTTTATTTTTAAATTATTTAATATTAATATAAAATTTATATATTATATATAATTCATTAATCCATTTAATAATAGACAGTATTTTTTATATGTATTGAATTTTGTTTGAATTTTGATTTTATACATTCATATAATCATTTAAATAATAGTTATTATTATTATTATTAAGTTATTGTTTGTTTATTTAAAAATAATTTTCAATTGTTTATATACAACAAAATGTTTATATAAATTGTTTATTAATTATAATAATTATTATTATTGTTAGTAATTTAACTAAAAAAACATGTAAATCTCATAGTAATTGACAGCTAATTAATTAATATTTTTATTATAACTACCGGTAATTACTGTATTTTAATTGAATTGTGATATATATCTATAAAAAAATTAATACTAAATTTTTTGTGTGTATATATATATACAGTAATTGTAACGTTTTTATTGTTTTGCTAACTAATTGTATTAATCGGTATTTATTAATATTTTGAATTAAAAAACTTATTATTAAATAAAATGTTTTAGTTAAAAAAAAATAATTTTTATTGTCTAATAATATTAAATTTTTTCAAACTTACTAAAATTAATTTAATTAATTTATTTAATAATAAATTTAAATATCAATATATATTTAACTAGAGTTAGTTATATATTATGCAATATAATCTTCAATATGATAATAACTATAGATATATTTTAATCAAAATTTTTTTATGTTTTCAAAAAAATACATAATAAATATCAAATATATATAAAATAATAATAATAATAGTAAACACAATAAAAAAAAAAGATAATTGCTATGTAATTATAATTAAAATTATTGTATTTTTTGTAGTACGCCATTACTAACTAACAAAAATTATTTTAATTAAATTAATAAATAAATAAATATATCAAATGTTTATAATTGTGTTATTTTTAAAAACAATGTGTATAATTGTTTTATAAACTTAACTGGATAAATTAAATTAAAATATATTTATTTTTAAAAAAAATCAAATTTTAATATGTAATATATCATGAGTAAGTTTTTTTTATTTATTTAAAAATATATAATTAAAGCATAAATATCAATAAATAAAATTAATTTTAATATTTTTTAAAAAATAGATGATAATTTTAATTTGGAATTAACTAGTTATAATTATTCTAATTTTAATCAAATAAAACTATTTGGTTCGGGTGCTTTTGGCAATGTTTATAAGGTTCAGGAAAAAACTAGCAATAAACAATTTGCTATTAAAATTATCAACAACAACAACAATGGCAAATGATAATAATTTTTTAAAAAAATATATATTTAAATTTATTTTTATTATTGCAAAAATTATAATTTATTAATAAACTAAATATTTATTTATTAATATCTTATTATTTAACTTATTAATAGATTATTATTTAATATATTAATAAATTAATATTTAGTTTATTAATAAATTAATATTTAGTTTATTAATAAATTAAATAATAATAAATAAATTAATTAATATTTAGTTTATTGATTAATTAATATTTAGTTTATTGATAAATTAAATAATAATAAATAAATAAATTATTATTTAATTTATTAGTTATTATTTAATTTATTAGTTATTATTTAATTTATTAATAAATTATTTTTATTATTTCAGATAAAACTATTGAATCAAAATGTAAAGAGTTTGAACTATTGTTGAAACTTCGGTCACCATATGTTGTCCACTGTTATAATGCATGGTTTGATTGTACTAATAGACTATACATACAAATGGAATTATGTTCGCAAAATCTTCAAAATATTATTGCAGTTAAGGGACAGGTATTTGATAGACAACCAGAAACACCAATGGATTGTATAGAATATTACATTAGTAGCCAATTGATGGTTGAATTGACGGAATGTGTTGAATATTTGCATACAAGTCGACCACCGGTTATTCATCGGGATCTTAAACCGTCAAACATACTGATCATTGATAGGCCAGTAATTGGCAATAAATTTCTAAAATTAGGTGATTTTGGTTTAGCTACCGATCATAATCGTAATGCTGATCAAATATCGGACAGTCATTCAGTAGGGAAAGGTACTTCCGAATATATGGCCCCTGAAGTCTATAGACGAATATATAATGTAAAATGTGATATCTATAGTTTGGCAATTATCTATCAGGATATGTTTGATATTGATATAGATGAGTAAGTTATGTATATAACCCAATAATTAATAATAATTAATAATAATTAATAATAATTAATAATTTGTTTTTAGTTACAATAACTATCGAAATAGTTCATTATATGACTATGTAGAAAATTTATCAAGCTTAATCATTTCGATGATGTGTCCTGTATATTCACAACGACCCAGTTGTACTGATATTCTTAACAAGTCTAGCGATTGGCTAATCGATAGAAACTTTATTGAACAAAATACATCAAATCTAAAACAGACTATCAAACGAATTGGTAGGAAACAATTTTTTGGCAACTATTTGTTTTATAAAACAATGTAATTAATTAATTTTTATTTTTTTAATTTAAAATATAATTTATATATATATTTATATATTTTTTACTAATAATTTTATTTATTTTTTTTTAAAAGGAGAAACAAAACAATTAAAAATAATATTGCTACAAAAATTACTATTAGTATCATTTCCGATATTAATTATGATTATGAACATAGACAAACTAATAGAGCATGTCAATACGATTCTAATAATAAATGTGTTAGTGTATATAATGGTCAATGTCATTGTCAGCATAGTAAACTATTAAAAGAAACTAATCAAGCTAGATATGATGATTTTAATCATTATGATGATTTTATAATTGATGAATCATCTAGAATAGAATGTTATAGAATTGACAATGACCATGAATCATTTGAAAATCTAATGTCTATCATGCATGAAGATCGAATTTCAATGGAATTTTTCGAAGATAATTCAGCTAGATGCTATTATTGTTCGACTAAAAAGTTTATTACTAATAATAATCAATACAATTGTGATTTGTCTAAAAATATTATGTTTGGCTAAATAAATAAAATAAAAAAATTAATTTTCTTAAAAATTTTTTTAATACAAATATATGTCTTATAAATAACAAATAAATTTATTTTCTAATAATTATTTATATTTAAAATGAATTAATTTTATTAACTTTATTATTATTATTATTAATTTTTTATTGTTGAAAATACATTTAAATTGTATAAAATATTTATATTATCAATAAAAAAAAATAAGACAAAAATTTCAATTATTTTTTTTTTTTGAAATTTATATAACAATTATCGCTATTATAAGTAAAACATTAATTCAAATGTTTGAGTATCCAAACAGCTGTATGTATGAACACATCCGAGTCGACATCAACCTTACCGAGTGAATGACAATCATCGTATAGGTGGCACCGGGTGGTCACACCACGGGCTCGCAATAGCTGATACCAACGCATACCCTGCGTGTACGGTACCCGTCGATCGCGGCGTCCGAGTAGCAAAAGTGTCGGCGCACGTACACTGGCCACCCATCGAATCGGTGATCGATCGAACATTACACGCAACTGGTCACCGGTTGGCGGCTGTTTAGCAAAATCGTGGTCACCGTCGGCAGCGGCGGCGGCGGCGGTGTCGGTACCAAACGATTCGCAGTAACACCAGTCGGGAATATCGCTGATATCTTTCATAACCGATATATCGATGACGGGATTTCTGGTAACACACGACCGGAAATTCCAGTCATTCGAGTATTGACCGCTTAGATGAGTGACCAGAAAACCGCCGTGAGATCCGCCAAATAGGACGAGACCATTGATGTCGACTAGCGATTGTTTTTCGTCGGATAAGTATTCCAGACATTTGATACAATCTTTGACATCATTGTCGCCGACATTACCGGTCAGGTCGTCGACATACTGTCGATCAACTCCTAGAGATCCTCTATAGTTGACTGAATAATAATAATAATAATAAAAATTTTTGTTTTTAATTATAACATCAATTATCTCTCTATCACACACTCACTCACTAACTCACTAACTCACTAACTCACTAACTCACTCACTCACTCACTCACCCACTCTTTCTCTCTCACTCTGACTCTCTCTCTCTCAATCTCTCTCTCTCTCTCACTCTGACTCTCTCTCTGACTCTCTCTCTCTCAATCTCTCTCTCTCTCTCACTCTGACTCTCTCTCTCTCTCTCTCTCTCCCTCACTCTCTCTCTCTCTCTCACTGACTCTCTCTCTCACTCTGACTCTCTCTCTCTCTCTCACACTCTCTCTCTCTCCCTCTCTCACTGACTCTCTCTCTCTCTCACTCTGACTCTCACTCACTCTGACTCTCACTCACTCACTCTCGAGGACAGACCTAATAATGTCTTGAATCCAAGTCTGGCGAATAGTAACGGATATATTGCAAAACAATTATAGATCACAGAATGAGGGCCGCCGTGCGGCCAAAGTATAGTCGGCGCGGGTTTCGTTGCCACTGCAATAGGACTGACCAGAATAGCGGTAATCAATTTGGACGGATCGTCAGCACTGGGCAGCCAGTAGTTGTTGTACGTTAACTCAGTGGCCAACGATTTTCTATTATCCGATTCATCGGTCAATTCTAGCCATTGGACGGTAACTGAATTTTTAACGCCAACATTGAGTCGGCCGACAAATACATTGGGCCTAACGTTGACCGCCGAACCGACAACAACCGAGATATCATGGCTTAGGTCAATGAGTTCGGCCGATGGCAGCGGAAATTGAATTGGCGTCCACTGTTTGGTAGCGATATCTACCAAACAGAGTACTAAGTTTAGTTCGGTTAAACAGTTGACCACTAAATGTTTGCCCGATTCGAAGAAGCATTTTACGGGCAGTGCGTTCAAAAATAGTGCCGCCAATTGATCGCTATATCGACGATTACCGTCGTCATCGGTGTCCGTGACTATCTCGCGTTTACCGTTGTCGTCGATTATAGTTTCGATCGATTCGGTTAGAAAATCGTAGCGCCGTAATCGAGTGGCCGTATGATGTGGACCGCCGCTGTCGTTCTCCAAGTAGACAAACGATTGGCCGTCGGGTGCGATACGCGGATCTTTGACACACAGTTTATTCAGACCGCAAATCAGTTCAGGTTTTGCATCAATAGTAGTTCCGTCAGTAGTAGTAGTGGCCGTCAGATCAACAGTAAATATACCGCTCAACCGATTCGGACAATAGGTTAGACCCAATCGTCGCGGCTGTTCAACCCATCCGACAAATCCGATCCTATCGTCGCCAGTGTTTCCGATCCAAAATGGCTGACCCAGAGAATAGCCGTCCATTTGGATGACACGTATCTTATAGTCGGCATCCGTGTCCAGAATGGCTACAACCGTATGACTGACCCCATCGTACAGTTCTCCCCAGTCGTCTCTGTGGACAATAAAAAAATAATTAGAGGAGTTAGAGGACAGGTATTAATTAATAAGAGATCCCAAAAAAAACCTGTAGACAAACTCCTGACCCCTGGTATCGGTAGACACTTTACTGCCGGCGGCGGAATCGTCACTCTTAGGCTTCGCCGCCAACTTCTTGTAGAACGACTGGGCTTTCGGCGGCTTATATTGAGCCGTATATAGTAGTCGGCGACCAGTTGGCGACCATTGAAAACTTGTAAACTCTTGGCCGGAAACAATTGACAAATGTTCGTCCACTTCGTTCAGATCCAATGACTTCAGTCTAGTCGACTGATCCCAGATTTCAAGCCATTGTTTCGGTTTTGTCGGCGATTGTGGATCTTTGGCACCGTTGCGTATAACTGCCCGAAGACGACGACGACTACTCGGGTCGCCACTAGTGGCCAATACGGTCGCCGCTCTAAACACAACAACAAAATAATTATCGGTTATAAACAACATGTGTCCGCACGCGTGTATACTGACTACAAGTGCTAGTAGTAGTAGTAGTTCTTACTCATTGGTCACGTCTACGGGTTGGCCGATAGCTGGTGTCAATCGTTTACAGTGTTGGCCATCGGCTGTCAATTTCAATAAATGTTGGGTCGCGTGTCGGGTCGGTTCCATGCGATCCAAATCACGTACTTTCCAGTCAATAGTCAACGATAGTTGTTGTTGTTGTTGTTGTCGGTTGAGACTACTATTATCGGTCGGCTGCTGCTGCTGACCATCACCTGCTAGGCTGCTAAGCCGACCGGCAACGGGAATCGGTTTGCTTGCCTCCGACCGATACAAATCGGCCAATTGGTCCAACTATTTAACAGATCGGTAAAAATTTTTGGTCAACAATTCATATATATATATATATATATATAGGATATATATGATATAAACTATTACCTCAAGAGTACGTCCATCGGCAGTGATTACCGAAGTAGTGTCTAATCAATCAATCAATCAAATGAGAGGACATCACAATATGAAATCACGCGGGAGTGTTGGCCAACATAACCAACCGCTATAAACACACTTACCGTTAACATATTGGTCGCCGATAACTGCAGTGGTGGACATTGTCGTTTTACCGATTGTTTTTAACCGCCCGAATGGCCAGTACTTAATAGACGCGAAATAATTTTCGGTAAATAATAATAACTTAAACAAACAGTGTATTCAATAATAATAATAATAATAATAATAATAATAATAATAATAATAATAATGTTTTGTTTTTTTTTGTTTGTTATTACAGTTTATTACAGTATTATTATTATTATTATATTATAATACTATTGCAATGCAAACAATAGATTTGCCAATAGATTAATGGTATTAATTAATTAATTATAATTTAATTATTAATAGTAACTACAAGTATATACAATATGTAGTAGTGATTGATATTAATTAATGTATATATATTTTTTTAAAATTTATATTAATATATAATTTTTTTTATAAATATTTATATTTTAAAAAAAATATCCACTTATAATTTGATATAATTTTTTTTTATTTAAAAAAAAAGTTATTATCATTTAGTTATAAATTATAAATATATGTTTATAACTATTTTTGTTTGTTTGGTTTTATTAAAATGTTGAACAAAAAAAAATATTTTTTTTAATAAAAAAAAGTTATCACTAAAAAATGTCTAATGACCAGGGTTTTAAAAATGGCAGGCATAAACAATAGATGCCAATTTTGCCAAATGCCTGCCCTGCGTCTGCCATGCCCTGGGCATCTATTTTCAGGTGGTGACACCTATAATTTTAATTTTATATTATTAATTTATTTATAAAACATTGTTTTTATAATATATTTGCTTGTATTTTTGTTTTGTATACCTTTAATTAAAAGGTAATATCAATGAAAATAAGTAAATTAATTGTAAATTTAATTAACACGTTAAAACACTAAATTACATTATTTTTATAAATATAGTAGCTTTTTAGCAATTTAAATTGGCAGGCAAATAAAATAGATGCCCAAAATGCCAGGCATTTATGGCATCTATATGGGCATTTCCAGGGCAGGCATTTATTTTCTTAAAACCCTGCTAATGACTTGAGTCTATATATAAGTCTATAGACACCAATATATCACTAACCAATCAGACAGGCGTTGATTTTACCTCTACATCTGACGTCACTTTATACACAATAAAGCTACACTAGCTTTGACAGTGCTAAGTATTAAAAAAAGAGTGGCCAACTAAACAAAATTAAACTACTGTAATATAAAATGAAAAATTTTATAAAGAAATAAATAAACATATATTAAGTAATGTAGATAACAACAATAATAAAACTATATATAAAATAATTGAAAATAACATTATTTTTATATTAAAACTTAAATAATATGCAAATAGTAAATATAAAAATAAAAATTACTTTTTTACATATAATTTAAATTATTCAAAAATAGTTTATAAAATATATGTATTAAATAATAAAATTTTATATGTTCTATTAATATGCCATCATAATGTCTATTTTTAACTATAAACAAAATTTAAAATATTTATTATCAGATCTTAAGTTAATTTTACTTTTCAATTATAAATAATTATGTAAATTGCATTTTTAAAAATACTTTTGTTATTTCTTAATAATTGTCAATTATTTTACTTTTAAACTAAATGATTTCTATAAAATTTTATAGTAAAATTTTTTAATTAATAATGATTTATTATCTTATTAACAATTATATATTTTAAATCTAATTTTAAGAAACGTAAATTAATGTTCTTTGATAAAAATGTGATTTTTTACAAAAATATCAAAAAACTTAAAAACTAAAATTAAAATATTAATATTTTTTAAAATAAATAAAATATTTGATTAAAATTACATTATATAATAAATTATAATTCAGCATCATAGTTTATTTAAAATTTAATAGAAATGATTTTTTCCGATTTTTATATTTTTTCTGATTTTTTTATTTTTTTTTATTTTAAAGGTAATGTTTTCCTATTATTGTTATAATAGTTATTAGATTTTTTTTAGATTATTATTATTAAAATTTGTATGTCTTTATTAATTTCTTAATAATTTTTTAATTATGATTACTATTTATTAATACAGTTTATTTTTTATTGGTTTTGGTAATGCTATTTTGTTTATGTCTAATTCAACGCTACCCTTACTATTACATGATATACTGATAGACACACAAAAAATAAGTTTTTAATCACTGTATGTATAATAAGTTTTAATAAATATTTTTTTTTTTTGATAAATAATTCATTGAATTGATATCACAATATTATAAACTAATAATAAAGACTTTATTTATTATAAAAATTTTTATTTATTATATTTATAGATAATATTTCACTTTGACTTATAAATTATATATTTAAAAAAAATGTTTTTATTTTATTAGTTAAAAAAAATGATATAAATATAATGGTTCATGGATAAATTTTGATAAAACAGAACAATATTTAGAAATAAATTTATAACAATTAAAAAAAATTATTATTATTTATTTATTAATTTAATTTAATAATAATATATAGTAAATGATGATGATAAAAATTTTTAATATATATATATATATATATATATAATTAGACATATATTGTAATATTATTATGATTTCATATCAGTAATAAAATTATAATATTAATAATGAAATTATTTATTTTTTAAAAAAATACAATCAAATGAAATAATTAGTTAATAATTAAAAGTTTTCTTTTATTATTATTATTATTACAATAATAAATAAATATATATATATATATAATGATAATGTTGTTGTCAATGGATGTGTTTCTTGTAGACACACACATTAATTCATCAATTGGTGGACCAATTGTTGTGATATAATAATATCGATCAATGAAAGAGTGGTATTAAAAAACTAATAATAATTTTTAGGTGACATTAAATTTTTTCTTCACTTCTTCCATCTCTTCAAACTTTTTGTCGGTGTTTAGCTGTTTGAACGCCTGTTTAGTAGTAAAATAATAATAATAATATTGTTTAATACTATTGGATCAACTAATTGATTGATTGATTGATTGATTGGTAGTTCAATAATAATAATAAAAAAATTGTTAAACACTATAACTACTAGTAATTTAGTAATGTTTAGACACATTATTATTATTATTATCTCAAACAACAAACAACAAAAAAATAACAGATAATTAATTTCAATCAATCAATCAATCAATTGGTGGCCAATAATAATAACATCATATAAACACTGATGATATCACCCGAAAAACAAAAATAAATACCCGATTGGTCTGATAGTAGAGTACAACCAGATATCTATTGCAGACATTAAACCCGGATAAGTGGTCGCAAGCATTCTTGGCGTCGAAGATATCTTCATAGACAACAAATGCCGTACCTTTTGTTTCCTGTGTATTACCGCTGATTGAATGAATGAGTGGCCAGACATAACAAAAAATAGACAATAAAAAAAAACATAAATTTAGTTAACAATCAATCAATCAGTTAATAGACCAATTGGTGGCCACGAAACTAGCGATCGGCCGACGGGACCGACCGACCGATCGATACACTTACAGTCTTATCTGACGAATGGCACCGAATTTGCCGAAAATATCGTACATTTCTTCGCCGGTAATCTTGTACGGCAAGTTTCGGACGTATAGTATACGATTGACTTCGGGCGGCAGCCGAACCTGTCGTCGGCCAGCGGCGGAGGCGTCGGTAGTGGACATGAAATAGGATAAAATAGAGGATCAAATTGATGGCCAACCCGTATCGGGTGGTGGCCAGTGATTTATGGCCACAACAAACTTACGTTAGACTTCTTTTGCAGCGCTTGCATAGCCATCTTTGTAATGGACGCACCGGTAGGTCAGTGAGAGGACTGTCCACTAAACGGTAATAATAATACGGGAGACTAATCGGCGGCTACTATACAGTGGTCAACAAAATAGTAATAATAATAAACAAAACGTGTGTCAAAACAAACAACACATACAACACTAGCGTATTGTTTGGAATACTAATAGTTAACACTATTTAATACATAAACTAAACGTTAAGCTAGTGTTGTACTGTTGTACTATTGCTATTATAATGTACAGGTTTTATGATACATGATATGCACTACATATCTTAAACACATAGATTACTATTCAATATAACAAACACACATATATTGTGTTTACTGTGTATGTGTGTGTATAGCTAAGCTCCGCCCACTCTATAGCGTTTAATGTTATAACATGTGTCCGATGTATGTATAGTACACTGAGTTTATATCTCTATCTATCTATATATGTGTGTAGATGTCGTTACGGGTTATATAAGTTAAATATATTTATTATTATTTAATATAATTTAATAATTATTTTCTATTTTTTAAAAATTTATTATATTTTTTTATATATACATCAAATTGTCCTAGATGATATTTATTTTTTAAATAACAATTTTGTTTTTTTTATAATTATCAATTTATTTATTTATTATTATTAATAGACAAATTTATTTTTTTAACTATAATTTCTAAACATTATTATTATTTATGTCATTTATGTTTAGCTAAAATTTAGGTTATGTTAAAATTAAAGTATTAAATAATGTAAAATTATCAGAAATTTTTTTTATGTTTTTAAAATGTTTATTATAAATTTTATCAATATAAAATAAATATTGTAAAATTATATTTTTTTGGATATGAATAATAATAATAAATGCTAATGTTATTAATTTTTAACTATTTAAAAAAAAAATTTGTTTAAAAATATACTATTTAAAAAAAATTATGCAATATTTAGATTAAAATTATTAATTAACTTTTTTATTTCTAGAAAATTTAACTAAAATAAAAAAACATTTAATTAATATATGGAATATACAGTAGAATATATATATACAGTACATTATATATACAGTATATACAATGTGGGGAAAATTTCTCGGGAATATTTCCTAAATATTTTTTTGAGAGAAAATTTTATATACATATAGATATACAACGCCTACCACAACAACAACAACAATATTATTAGGCGTGGTTCACATATTACGTTCGCACTTGAGGGGAGGGGGGGGGTTAGCTAAAGCGAACTTTTGCGAACGAGGGGTAGGGGAGGGGTAGAGACTTTAAGAACGTTCGCATTTAGATAATATCTTATTTCTTGTGGTGGGGGGGGAGGGGTAGCTGTTAAGGATAAGCGAACGTAATTATTTTTTTAAATGACTACATGCGAACAATTGCGAACATAGGGGGGAGGGAGGGGGTCTAGATTTCTTAAAAAGTGCGAACGTAATATGTGAACAACGCCTTATCAATATATACATTGCATTTTGTTTTGGCAAACACTGGTATACGCAATGTTATGTGTGTTAAGTGACAACAAAAATATATATAATTAGTTTTTTTTGTGTGAATTTTTTTTTTATAAGACAACCCAACACTTGGTATTTATTTATATATATATATAACATAACTGTTATGTCATATCATATATATATATATATGTGATATATATTTTGATCATACATTTGAATAACACATTTGTTTAGTATATATATATATTCCTATACTATATATATATATATATATATATATTTACAACACATTTGTGTTGAAAAATTTTTTTGAGATAAAATAAGTGTCTCATTGATGGATATAATAGATATAATACTCAAATACATTGTAGTTATGATAACTTGAAAAATATTTTTGTTGTATCATATGTTTTGTTGAAATGAAAATTTTTTTTTTTTTAGTTAATTAAATATTTGTCGTCAAATATATATATAAAAAATTTCAAAAAACTATTTTACAGTAAAAAATAAATACAAACAAACATATCATATGTGAACTAAAAAAATTTTTAGTTTTTTTGTGTAATAATTCAAAACTACTAAAAAAATAATAAAATAAATAAAACTTTTAATTAATAATAATATTTTACATTTAATTTTTTTCAATATTAAATAAATTCAACATCAATGTAACAAAAAAAGTTTATTATTTTTTTAAATAATTATTAACTAGATCATATTTATTATTATTATTTTTTTAAAAAAATAACCAAGTGCAATAATAATAATAATTATGTAATAAATATTTTTTTTAAACGCCTTAAATAAATAAACAATTTATTATTAATATTAACATTTAAAACAAAATAAATTGAAAAAATTTATTTATTTAAAAAAATAAAAACTAAAAATTAAATGTCATTCTTGAAGAAACTGATCCAAAAAAGCCAAACCAAAGATAACAACCTAACCATTGATGTCGACGACAACAATAGCAATGATTATATTAGACGTAAAGTCGATAAACGGCTAGTTTTGGTAATTATTTTATTATTATTTTCTCACTAAATATTTTAGACCTAAAAAAATAAAATAAAATAAAATTATTTGAAAATAAATATTTAAAAAATCTTATTACAAAATATTAACAAAAAAAAAGTTTTTCTATTTTTTAAATAACTATTTTTATATTTAGACAAAAAAAATTATTTGTAATAAAACAAAAAATCTTATTATAAGATATTAACAAAAAAAAGTTGTTATTATTTTTCATTATAAATATAACTATTTTTATATTAATCGGACTGATCTTCAACTACTACTACTCCTACTACTTGTACTTTACTGTATACTAATGATATGATAATGAACTACCAGAGCCAGTCAGACCCGGAGCCCATACTCGACCTAAACGGTTGCCAATTGGCTTGTATTACACCGACAATAATAACGACAATCAAAATCTATGGTAAAACTGATTGCCGTTTCGATGATAACCTATTGACCGAGTTTGGCGGCACCGGTAGCTTACAGTACATGTCCGCTGTCCGATCGTTACACTTGTCCAACAATCGTCTGGCCAGTATCGGCAAAAATATTGCTCAACTCAAACAGTTAAAAGTTTGTTAATTTTATTTTTTTTATTATTAAAAAATATATATTTTAATTATTTTTGAAAACAAAATTAAGCATGTTAATTTATATATGTATATTATTATTATTATTATTAGATATTTTTAATTTTTTATTATATAATGTAATTTTATTATTATTAAATTAATTAGCATGCTAAATAATTGTTTTTAAATGTTTTTTTCTATCTAACACTTTAATTTTAGTTATATATTTAAATACTATTTTTTTAGTGCAATTTATTATTATTTTTTTGTTTTAGTTTTAAAAAATCAATTGATAATTATTTCAATATATAATTACTATTACTACTAATTTTTTTATCAACAAATAAGTTATTTATTTAAGATTATTAAAAAAAATATTCATATTTTTCAATATGTTTTTTTGAATGAATTGATACCAAAAAATAAATAAATTATTTTTTTTAACATATATTTAAATAATTATTTTTTTTTGTCATTTTCATTATACAACTACCGGTACTACTAATAAAAAACAGGAACTATATCTAAGTCATAACCAGTTAAGCCAATTGCCCGATACATTGGCCGAACTAACGGCACTGAAAATACTGTCCATACGCGACAACCGTTTCGCTGAACTACCCGATTGTATTACCCGATTAGCGGGTCTGACTTGTCTGGACATTGGCGACAATCACCTACGGGAACTACCCGGGTCATTGTTACGGCTGAGGCAATTGAAATCGTTGCAATTGGACGGCTGTCCCATGGAATCGCCCGATCCCGGTGTCTGTCATCGGGGATTGCAGGCCATCCGTGCATATCTGGCCAACAACAACAAAATGCATAGTAATAGCAATGAACATATCGATTATTATGGTAACGGTAGTACCGGTGCTGATGATGATGACAATGATGACAACCTATTACTGCCATCACCTGATGATACCAATGGTAGTGATACTACAGATATAGTCGATTCAATAGACGTATGTTTTTATTATTATTTTTATTATTATTATTATCCATTATATTCATATATATATATATAAAGTTTTATTTAGTTTATTGGTGTCTATTATACTTATAATTAAATTTTATTTATATATCTATACAATACAACAAACAATAAAAACTTTTTCTAAAAGTTTTTTTTGTTAGATAAAAAAATAATTAGTAAATATATTGATATATTTTTTTTTAAAAAAAATAATAATAAAACTTTATTATTATTATTTTTTTTGTGATAGTCAATATACATGTACGATATTATTATTATTATTATTTTTATTTGTTTGCTATTGATTTTTTGTGTGTATAATATTTAAACGATAATATAAATTATATATATATATATATATACGGCATATAATAATAATTGCATACGAGTTATGATATTTAATGAAATTTAACTTTTAATAGCAATAAATTTATTATTATACAGTAATATACTGTATTTGCAATTTGCAATTTGCTATTTATTATTATTATTATTATTACTATTGTTATTATCATTATCATTAGTATTGTTATTATTATTATTTAGATGAATAAAAAAAATCGATATATATTGTATTAATAAATTATATTCAATACATTAAATATTAGTAAGTATACCAGTACCAATTACTAACTGATATATACTGTATATATATATATATAATTTTAATAATATATAAACTTAAAATTTATATTAGTGTGTGTGTAAAAACTCATTTATTATTAATTTTTATTATTATTTCATAATATAATTAAATATATATATATATATTATAAATATAGAAGTATTGAAATATTGCCTAACAATATAATTTTTAATCAATAATATTTATTTAATATATTTTTTGTTTAGTACAGTATATATACTGTATATACTATTTAGATACCATATATTAATAATTACCATATATTAATAATAGAAAAAAATAATCTATTTTTTAAAAAACTATATTAATTATTAAGTTATATATTTTTTTTGGCAAATTGAATGTAAATTATCAAATAAATCTACACTAATATTATAATACATAATATTATTATTAATATTATTAATACATTTATACTGTACTAACCAAAAGTATTGTTGTATTATATTATGTTTTTTTTGTTGGTTGAAATCTGATCCACAAAATCCCACTAAAAATAGTTATGAAATACAAAATTAAGTGACACTTTCAGTATAGTAGTAGTAGTAGTAGTAGTAGTAGTAGTAGTAGTAGTGATGAGTGAAATATAAAGATATATATATATACATTATATTAACATTTTCTATACATAGTTTGCTATTATTATAATTATTATCATTATATATATATATATATAAGTTATATATATATATTAAATATAGTTGTAATATATTTTAATTTATTTATAATTTTTGTTTTATTTTTTTTAAAACTAAAATCAATTATTTGTTGGCAAACATAACTATTAGTATAGTATTATTATAAAACTTACTATGAAATGGAGCGCATCCTTAATAAATAAATATAAATATATTAAAAATAATTTATTTATATTTATTTTGTTAAAAAAAGTGTTTCAATCAGCACTGGATTAGTGCTATATTTATAGACTAAAACCCCGACACAACTTTCCCCAACAAAAAAAAATAAATATCTATTTTTTTAGATAGAGAGAGAAAGAGAGAGAGAGAGAGAGAGAGAGAGAGAAAGAGAGAGAGAGAGAGAAAGAAAGAGAGAGAGAGAGAGAGAGGATATTAGACACTATACTTAAGTTATTTATTTTGTTATCTTTACTAAATTTTTTGAGTTTTTTTTTAAAAAGTTGTTTAACTTATATAAGTGACAAAATGTGTATTAAATAACACATGTATTATATAACACAAACACATATGTGTGTTAACTAATGTATACAAAAAAAAATTTGTTACAAAATATATGTATATAAAAATAAATACATGTTTATAGCAAATATAATATATATATAATATTTGCATATTTATAAAAAAAAATTATAATCAAATACTAATTTTTTTTTATAAATAAATAAATAAATTATTAAGCAAGCATGCATACTTAATTTTTTTGTTAAAATAAATTATACTAATTTTTTTATAATTATTTTTTTTGATATTAATAATTACAATTTTTTTGTTGTCGAAAAATATTAATAATATTTATGATACTATTTTTTATTTTTCTATTATTATTATTATTTGAAAAATAATTTTTATAAATTATTATAAATTATATATTAGATATTTACACAATAATTATTATCACAATTATTATTATTATTGTATATATATTTTTCACATTATATTTTAATTATTTTTTTTAAATTATATTTGCACTCAATATATATATATATATATATACTAAATCATAGGCTCAATCACCAATCGATTACAAAAATTATCACATTTTAAAGGCACGTATTATTAATAATTAATTAATAATAATATAAAATCAATGCAATTATTAGATAATTTTTTATATATAAAAAAAATTATAATAAAACTTTTATCTAAAATATTTCTATATAATAATAATAATATTTATTTTGTTGTGTAAAATAAACTTTTTTTAGGACCAAAAGAAAAAAGCATTACTCGATTGGGAAAAACAATTTCATACCAATATTGAGACTAACGGTGCTCTGGGAGGCGGTAGTGGTGTCAGTGCCGGTGTCGGTGGTACTACCGATCAGTACATTACCGACAAAAAGCGTGGACTGTTATCCCAGTTATGGTTAGACGATAGGCAACGATCGGCTGATATTCATAGCCGCCAGCGCCAGAAGGACAGGGATCGCCAGTCGCTATTGAATAGTATATGTGAGCGTATGTATCCCACATAATGTATTTAATTAGCTAATTAAATAATTATAAATTAATTAAGCTAGGTGAAAAAATACTTTTAAAAATTAATTTTTAAAAAAATCAACAAAAAAAGTTTAGTTTACTTATTGATATAACAAAAAAGTTATAATTTTTAAAATAAATTGTTTGTTATTTATTTTTTTCAAATTTAATAATATATATATAGATATAAATGTGTTATTAATTTATAGAATTTTTTTTTGCTATAAATTATATTTTTCTGAATATATTTTTTACATTTATATATAAAATTAATTTTTTGTTAGTTTAAACATTATTTAAAATGTGAAATCAGTTTTGATAGTCAAATATTATTAAACAAAAAATTTTTTGGGGGGGTTATATTAGTTAAAAATTTAAAAATAATTATAAAAATAATTTTTTAATTATAATTTAATTAGTTGACAGACATTCCAAACAATTGTTGGACAGTTTGAACAATTGGGAGGACAGACACCGCAATCAATTGGATGCCATGGAAAGGGATGAACGACAACTAATGGATCATATGTTGAGATACGATAGCGAAATAGTGGTCAAAAAGGGTACAATATTGTTGGCAATGGAGGAAATGTTGCTCAGAGAGTCCAAGGCATTGGCACTGACCGATGAACTTCGGGAATATAATCAAACGGAACGACGCAAACATATCGGTGAACAGGTATGTGTAAAAAATTAATGGACAGGTAGTTACTGGTAGTGGTAGTGTTAGTGGTAGTGGTGGTAGTGGTGGTAGTGGTGGTAGTGGTGGTAGTGGTGGTAGTGGTGGTAGTGGTGGTAGTGGTGGTAGTGGTGGTAGTGGTGGTAGTGGTGGTAGTGGTGGTAGTGGTGGTAGTGGTGGTAGTGGTGGTAGTGGTGTTTACTTATTAAAAAAATTATAAATATTTAAAAAACAAATAATTTTTTTATAGTATAGTCATTAAAACTAATTATTATTAAAAATATAAAGTATTTATTTTTTTTATTTAAAAAAATTTGATACTAAATTAGAATTACCCCGGTTAAATAGGAATTATATTTTTAAAAAAAAAATTATGGTATAGTTATTAAAACCATTTAGTATTATTAAAAATATACAATAAGTTTATTGTATTTATTAATATATATTTTTATAATTTAAAAATTAGAAGTATTTAAAAAAATAATAATTTTTTTAGTGGTATAGTCATTAAAACTAATTATTATTAAATTAACAATAAATTTATTGTATAATATATTGTATTTATTTTTTTATTTAAAAAAAATTGATACTAAATTTATTTACTATTAAGCTATTTTTAAAAAATAATATTTACTAAAATTATTTTTATAGTTTTTACTAAAATTTTGTTGGGATTTTACAGTTTATAATCTTAATAAAAGTTATCATTAGTTAATAATTTATTTATATATAGAGTATTACTATAAACCAAAAATTTTATTTATTTTATGATTTTAAAAAAAAAATAATTATTTAAATAAGTAAGATATCATTTGTTCAAGCTCAATTAAAATTGTATTTTTATATTTATTATATCCATATAATACTACATTATTAAAGATTTACAGTTTATTTATAATTTTTTAAACAAAACAACTATAAAGAAAATTTTAATAAAATAAAATATTAAACATAAATTAATTAATAATTATTATTATAGTTAATTAAATATATATATATAAATAACTAAACTAATACTTAAAAAATATAACATAATATTTAATAATTATATCATCAATTGTTATCCAAAAAAAATTTTAAACAAAAATTTCAATTATTATAAAACTATAGTTTTACTATAATTATGATTTAAATAGTTTATAATAATTTTACATTAATTTTATTTTTTTTTTAATAAATAATAATTAAAAACAATTATAATTACGATATTAAATTAAAAAATATTTTTATATATATATAAAAATGTTAGTCTAGTATTACCGGTACTAATAATAATTGCTAATTATTTTAAAAATAAGTACACTATATATGATATTACAGTTTAATAATTATTTTTTTTAATAACATTATATATATATAAAAAAAATATTTTGTTTAATAAAATTTAAAAAATAAAACTAAATTTTTAAATATTTTTTTGTTTTTAATTTTAAGGAACATTTACAACGCCAGGCATTTGAAGCCCTCCAACACTCCCGGGACTACCGTAGCCGACAGTTGACCGCACAGATAGCCGTAGTCGAACAGGAATTGCTACAGTTGACCACTGCCGAGATGGCCAAAAAAGATGACCGATTGGACACGATATTGACGGATATTGGCCAACAAAGGCGCCAATTGGCCGCAGTTTTAGCTAAATTGTTGGCACAGAAGCGGGCGAGAGATCAACAGTTAAGGGATCGGGTGTTGGAAATCGAGAGAAGACGGTTCGAGTCGACAACGACGGGTGTATCGGAGGCCACGGCGTCGGCGGCGGCCAATGACCAGGAGTTTTGGTTACGACAATACCAGTGCCTAATGGAAAGACAGCCGTTTAGCGTACAGATGAAACAGTTGAACATCGGTGGCTGCGACGATAGGTTAGTCCAATTGTTGACGACTGTCCACTCGGATTGCGATCGTATCGGCGATTTTGTTACACTATTCGCGGATATAACGTACGACCGATTGTACGGCATGTCGGCCGAAGATATACTCGCGCTGGGCGTCAATGACTACGATTTGTGTCAATTGATTCGGGATAAGTTAGACGAGTTAGGAATATCATGTACTACCGGTGCCGCTGATATGGCTACCGGTCAGCCATCGGCACCAGTAGTTGACGATTTGTTGTCGGCCAGCGAACTATTGATAGAACCGACAGCACCGACTGAATCCGACTTAACTGTCGGTACTGTCGGCGCCGATAAGACCCTGTCATCGATAGGACAGTTGGCTAATGTCAAGATCTGGCGCCAGACTGAATGTGTTATATGTTTTGAACTAATGGTATGTTATTTGTTTAGACAATTGGGTGAAGGGATGGGGTTTTGTGTGTGTATGTGTGTGTATGTGTGTGTGTATGTGTGTGTATGTGTGTGTATGTGTGTGTATGTGTGTGTATGTGTGTGTATGTGTGTGTATGTGTGTGTATGTGTGTGTATGTGTGTGTATGTGTGTGTGTGTATGTCTGTGTATGTGTGTATATGTGTGTGTATGTGTGTGTAAGTGTGTGTATGTGTGTGTATGTGTGTGTGTATGTGTGTGTATGTGTGTGTATGTGTGTGTATGTGTGTGTATGTGTGTGTATGTGTGTGTATATGTGTGTATGTATGTGTGTGTGTATGTGTGTGTATGTGTGTGTATGTGTGTGTATGTGTGTGTATGTGTGTGTATGTGTGTGTATGTGTGTGTATATGTGTGTATGTATGTGTGTGTGTGTATGTGTGTGTGTATGTGTGTGTGTGTTTGTATGTATTATATGTGTGTGTTTAGATAACTGTTCAAAATAGGGATAACCCGGATTAAATAATTTAATTTTGTTTATTATAGTAAAAAACTAGTGTTAGAAATAAATAAATAAATCATTAATTATTTTTATCATTAATTTTTCCAAACAATTTCTAACAATTTTTTTTGGTAACCATTATTAGTTTTAAATATTTTTTTTTTAGCAAATACTGTATTACTAATAATTATTATAATTAAAAACTTAAAATTATTTTTTAACAAAATAATTTTATAAAATACAAATTTAGTTTTAAAATAGTTTAATTATTTATTTAAATTAATATATATACAATAGTAGTTGATGAATACAAAAAATAACCTGTATTAATTTTATTTAAAAAAACAATATTTAGTAATATAATTAATTTTTTTTTTATAAAATCATGATCAGCAATACTCTAATTTTAATAATTTAACTAAATTATAAAAATTATTATTAAAAGTACTTAAATTAAAGTTTTACAGTTTTTAATAATTATAATAATAATAATAATTTTATTAAATATTATTACTAAAGTTAAAAAATAAATTAAACATAAAATAACATTTTTATTACATTATACTAATAGTAAATATTTTTTTTAATTAAAATTATTTTTGTTTTAAATATTAAAATATTATATTTAAGATTAAATTAAAATTATAATTATAATTATTTATCTATTTTTTTCCTACATTTAATTACTAATATACTAATAGTAAATATTTTTTTATTTATTTATAATATTTTTAATTTATTTTTGTTATTGTTAAAAATAAATCTATTTATTATAATATTATAATTATAATTATATATTTATTTATTTATTAATTTTTTTCCTACAATTTACAGTGCAATGTGGTATTCCTGCCCTGTGGTCATGTATGTTCATGTAATACCTGTGCTCTATTGGTGTCTACCTGTCCATTGTGTCGGGTGTTTATCGATGACAAATTGAATGTCAATTTCTAAAAAAAAAATATTAATTATTTTTTTCAAGAAAAAAATAATAACAATAATACAATTTACAATAAAAAAAAATATTTTTATGACTCAATAATTATTTATGCATTTTTAATATATACAGTATATATATTTTTGTGATTATTATAATTAATTAATTAATTAATATATCTATTAATTTATAGTTTTTAAAAAAAATAATGATTATATAATATCTAACATATCACATAATTTATAAACTATATACACAATTATTATTATTAGTATTATTATTATAAATATATTATCATATTGTGGTTATAATATTAATAATATATATTAGTATAAAATTTTTAATATGATATATAAAGTTTAGATATTTTTTGTTTTGTTTTTTTTTGAAACATAAATTGCAATATTTTACTTTATTATTGTATATATATAAAAAAAATTTGTATAAAATATATATATATTTGTTTGTTTGTTTGAAAAACGATTAATTTATAAAAATAAAAATAATTATAACAAAAAATGAATTCATTTAAATTATTAATATTTTTTTAAAAACAAGATTAAAATAATTACTTTTTAATTAATTAATTAATTTAGTTATAATATAAAACTATAATATAATATTATATCACATAAAATTAAAAATTAATTAATAAAACAAATTGAACTGTCTAATAGTTTAAAATTAGGTATCAATAAATGACACTGGTTAATGTTTTTTATTTTATTACAGTTTTTTAAACAAACATAAATATTAATAATTTAAACTACTAATAATAATAATAAACTAATAATAATAATAAACTAATAATAATAATAAACTAATAATAATAATAAACTAATAATAATTTCAATATAATAATTAATATTGTACATAACTAACTTTAGAAACAAATTTAAAAAAAAAAATAAAATATTAATAAAATTATAGCCAAATTATTAGTAATTAATTTTTTTAATTGTTGAATACACAGTTAATAAACAATATTACTTTATGATTATATATAAAAATATATTTGTTTGTTTTAAAAAACATTGATTTATAAAAAATTAATAAATTTATATAAATAAAAACAATTAATTCAATTAAATTTTGAATTTTGAATGTCTAATAATTTTTGATTAAATTTTTTATTATTAACTAATTAATTAATTTTATATAATATGAAAAATAGAGTAAAATGAAAAATAATAATATTAATTATATTATAATAATACACATAAAATTAAATTTAAAAAAATATAATTAAGTAAAGTTAACTTTCTAATAGTTTAAACTAAATTAAGTTTCAATAAATGACATTGATTAATTATTTTTATTTAATTACAGTTTAAAAAATCAGTTTTACAATGATATAATGAAATAAATATAATAATAAATTAATTTTAAAAATTTTGATATAATTTTCCAAATGTTTAGAAAATAATATTAGAAAATTAAAAAAAAAACAAAACTAAACTTGTATTTATTAACTTAAAAAAGTATTATTAAGTTAATAATTTTTATAAACATTTTTTTTAAAAAAATACATATTAATAACATAATCTAAAGTTTCATAATAAAGATAATTAATTAATTTATACAAAATAATAATATCCTAAACAGGTATTACTTAATTAATTTTTATTTTGTTTAATAAGATAATTGATTGAAATAAAAACTCTAATAATATAGTTTATTAATTTAATTATTCAAATGTTAGTTAAAATTATAATAAAATTAAATAATTAAAATTTATTAATTTACTATGTCTATATTTAAAAAAAAATTTTTAAATAATAATAAAATAGTTAAATAAAACTATTATATTAAAGTTTTATTAGTGTTTACTAACTATTTAATTTTAAAGTTTCTATAAAACATATACATTAATAATTTATTAGTTAATTACAGTTTTTTTATACAATTTAAATAATAAATTTTTAAAAAATAACTAATAATTTTTGTCTAATGTCTAATCGTTAAGTAATTTCATTCATAAAAATTTCAAATCAATAGTTTAATATATATATATATAATAATATATATAAATATTATAAATAATAAATTTTGACAATAATAATAATTAAAAAAAAAATTATAAATTAAATCTAATAAAAAAATTATTTATTTTTATTGTCAAAATAATTTAAGATATAAAACAAATACAAATGTTGATTTTAAATATGTATATTAATATTATACTATTATATATAAATATGTATATTAATCAATTGAAACATTATAGCAAATAAATTAAAAAATTTTTTTTACTTTTTTTCCATTTTATATATAAAATTAAAAAAAATAATAGTCTGCATATTAATAGGCTATTTTATCTATAAAAAAACTTTTATAAACATACACAATATAATTGTTACAGTTTTTTAAATAGTTATACAGTTTATTATATATATATAATTTTAAAATTATATTTCTTTTAAAGTTTTATTAATTATAGTAGTATATTGTTATATAATATATATAATGTTTAAATAATTAAATGTTTCAACAACAAAAAAATAAATAAAAATAATTGCAAACCATTTTTTTAAAATTAAATCAATTAATCTTATTTATTATATACGTTAAAAAACAGTTTAATAATAACTATTGAACGATTAGGTAACAGTATAGAGAAATAGGATAATCATTTGGACAACGGGTTTGAGCGGCTCCGGTAAACTTTGCTGATCGATAGCCCGGAGCCAATTCAACAGTGGCCTCAATACCAGGTCAGTGATGGCCTGTTTGATAGTCGTTATCATTGTTGACGACGACGACGACGATGAGGACGACATACTATCTGTATATCGTTTGTTACGTAAACCATTATCTACGGCCTCCTCGGCGGACATGTGGTCACCGATGTCGGTGTCAATGCCGTACTGTTGAACCATACGTTTGATTAGCAGCCGCTGATAGGGTCGGCTATCATCGGCTGCTAAATCGCCGTTTTGGCCAACGATACCATTGATTGATCCGCTTTTATTATCGCCGGTATTGGTGGCGATGGTCAGCACCGGCGGTATTATCGATAGACTACTACGACTAATGGCTATTAATGCCAACAATTGACCGACAATTTGATATAACATTATATATATAATAATAATAATTATGTGTATAATTAAAAAATAAATTTATCTAAAATATATTTATGTTATAAAAATAAATTATTATATTATTTAAAAATTTATAATATTTTTTTGATTGATTTAACAAAATGTTGTTTTCAATTGTATTGTTTGAAACTAAAATAATTAAAAAAAAACTTATTTATCATAAATAAAATTATGTTTAATAAAATCATATATAAAATACATATGTTTTTTGAAGTTATTTTTTATTTATTTTTTAAAATAAATTATTATTTACAATTAAAATATATTTGTAAATAATCTATTGGATCATCAAAAATGGTGTGATTTATTAATAAATTATTATTAAAAATAAATGTTATGATAATAAAAATTTATACAAAAGTTTTAAAAAAAAAATATTTTAAGTAATTAAATCATTTTCTATATTATTAAAAGTATGTATTATTACAAATAAATTTAATTAAAAAAAAATAAATCAAAAAAAATAAATCAAAATTTAAACAAATAATCTATAAATTATGTTTAATAGTTACCAAAATATTTATTATAACTTATAACAGTATAATAATGTATTGATAGTATATTATTTATATTAAAATTTAAAAAAATAATAATTATTATTATTAATATTATTAATATTATTAATATTATTAATATTATTAATATTATTAATATTATTAATATTATTAATATTATTAATATTATTAATATTATTAATATTATTAATATTATTAATATTATTAATATTATTAATATTATTAATATTATTAATATTATTAATATTATTAATATTATTATAATTATTAATAATTATTATTATAATAATAATATGTTATAATTAATAATTAAATATATATACAACAAACATGTTAAAAATAATAAATATTTTACATTAAGTAAAAATTAATTTTATTGTAAAAAATAAAAGTTTCATTACATTTACTATTATCTATTATCTATTATAAATATATATATATTAAATATCTATTATGTTATTTCAACAACAAAAAATTATTAATCAAATTATTAAAACTTATTTGAAAAAAAACAAACCAAACATATTATACGGTAGAAAAAAAAATTATATAATACTATAACAATATTAATACAAAAATTCATACAACAAATAGATACAAAAAAAATAAAAATAAAATTATATTAATAATAACAAAAGCTTATTTATTATTATTTGTTTTAATTTATTATTCAATTACATAACGAATTATTTAAAACTTATTAGAAAAAACAAACAAACATATTATATAAATAATTATATAAAAAATTATATAATACTATAACAATATTAATACAATAAATTCATACAACAAATAGAGAAAAATAAAATTATATTAATTAACAAAAAAAATTTGTTTTAATTAAAAATTTTATGTTTATTATAATTATGATCATCACTACCATCATCATCATCACCATCACTATGACTATCATCATCTACTTGGCTGACAATAGCGTCCAATAAGGATATTAACAGATTAAGTACTGGTCTAACCAATGATGGCAATACTGACTGATCGATACCCCGGAGCGCTTCGACCGCCGGTTTCAATACTAGGCCAACAAATTTCTGTTTGATATTATTTAATGATAGGATGTCTCGTTTTTTACGTAAACCATTGGTAACTACTCTACTATCGGGCGATAATACCTTTACAATGGATATGTAGTCTCCGGCCAAACCGTCATCGTTGACATCATCATTGACCATAGGTTTTACGGGTCGTCCATTGGAGGGACTGGCCTTACGGGACAACCAGTTGTTTGGCTGATCACTGGCGGCCACACTATCGGCAATATTGGCAGCAGCGGTGGTCATCATCAGCACCGGTACCAACACGAGTATGATTGTCGCCAACAACAACAGTATAGTTTGATTAAACATTTTTTTTTGTTATTTTTGGGAAAAAACTTTTTTA